AATTTTGAGTTGTATCAATGCTATGAAAAATGCAACATCATGTTCTATTAAAATTAATAGACTAAGGTGGCTAGGACACCTTGAAAGAATGGACACTGGAGACCCGCAAAGACAGATATTATATCAAGAGCCAGTAGGAACCAGGAAGAGAGGCAGGCCAATATCTAGATTTCAAACTCAAGTCGAAGATGACTTGAGGAATCTAGGGGTCAGAAATTGGAAAGCCAGGGTTAAATTTAGGTTAATTCTTGAACATGCCAAGACCCACTCAGAGTTGTAGAGCCAAAGATGATGATGATGATGATGAACTGAAGGAAGAAGTCCATAACCATTGCTAACGCGTCAATTTGGATTGTGGCAACATAGAGAGTTTTCTCAACCAAAAAAGCAATTGAAAAGTGTTTTATTAAGTGCGGTTTAAAAAAAAACGAGAGTAATGGAGAAGAAGTTGTAGACAATCTGGAGCTACAAGACCTGGAAGATGATTTGCCATGATCAACTTTTTGTGAAAGCCATGGGGTTGAAAATTTTTTGAACTACCTAAATTAAACTTAGCTAGTGTTAGTGATTAAAAAAAAACGAACAGTTGTCCAATGTTTCCGACAATGAAAGTGACGATGACCTGGAAACTACTACAACTGTAAGTAATTTAAATGATGCTTACTTAAAATTAAGAGACTTATTATTTTTCTCCGTTGGTGTAAGTTATAGAAGTTTCACTGTATGTATATAGTGTATCAATAAAAGTATTACAAAAAAAAGTATGAATTTTCAAAGATATAAGGAAAAATGAATCAACACAAACCGCATGTTTATATTTTTCTAAAATTGAAAAAAATATATTTTTCATACATGCTTCATATTTCTGCTGTAGTAAATTACCCAGAGCGATTCCAAAATTATGTCAAAAATAGACATTGATTAACAGAAAATTGGATTTTGTCCAATTATGAACTGGTTGCCTTAATCAAGTTTTCAGAAATAAGGTTTGATGGTAAAAGTCGATTTCACTTATTATAATGTACTTTTAAAAGTTATATGTTAAAAATTACCTAATTATCTAAAGACGGGAAGGGAAATTTAATGTAAAGAAAGTGATTTAAGTGTGATTAAACATTGTTTAGCATTAACAGGCAGGTAGATGTTATAAATGAAATGTGATATTGAAAATAATTACTTCAAAAGAAACAATTGACGATATATTGATCCGCTTTTAGTGAAAAGAAAAGAAAACATAAAAATAAAACTAAACACAGAGCAGAAAATTTAATGAATGCAACAGCTCAAACCAACACTTTATAGTGCTCCAGGGCGAAGTATTTACATTGACAGCTTGCAATAAAGCAGAAAGCAAGGTTTAGACATCGGGAATAAATATAACTAGTTACGGAGATGTTGAAGAAGTACGACAAAAAAGATTCAAAGCGAGTAAAGCGACAAGATTTCTTAATGATGTTGACAAATCAAACAGAACAAACAAAAGGAAACTGCAGAAATTTTGATATTGGATTAACAATAAAAATTACAAGAGAATGTCCACTTAGAAAGATGAAAAATCATAAAAGATATGAAATGTTAAATGACTAATAAATAATGTATAACCTGGTAAATCTACTACCTTAAATGCTAGACAAAAGCAAAGATAAAAAGAACCATATGAACTAGAATTTTGTTGGAGTAATTAAAAAAAAATGATAAAACCTATCCCGAAAGATATGAATAATATATAAGAGAAAAGTGAAAATTAGAAACTAAGGTCAGGGAAAGCTAAAAAAATACAAGTAAAATACATTTGGACTGGAATAATCTCCAGTACAAAGAAATTATTGATATCTAAGTTAAACAAACGAGAACTTTGTAAAATAAATAAAAATAATATATACAAAAGCAGGACAAAACGAAATTAAAGACCTAGATACACAGCAAAACATACGAAAAGTATCGTTAACCCATAATAAGGAAGCAATACACGCAAAAATAGTTGCAAAGAGTGAAAAAATTTGAAGAAAATGCATCCATAGCAAAAGATACGAACAGAACCGGTATCTGGTAACTGAAAAATCTGAAGTAGAAACCAAGACAACTTTGTTCAATGAATAACCTCCGAATTAACAACACAACAGATACAACAGGACGTAACTCTATGATTGACTACATTATAACCAACAGACAAATACACCCCAAGAATATACCTAATAGATACAAGGGAAACAGAATGCAGAGAATTGTTATTCAAGATGGTGATGAATCAAATAATTCACGAAGTAAGAAAACGACACGGATACCACATGGGAGCGCATAAAATCACGATACTATTCTATGCCGATGATGCAGTACTAATTGCTGATAAGGAAGATGACCTACAAAGGCAGCTCCACACCTTCAATATCACAGAAAACAAACTTAATATGAGAATATCAGTAGAAAAAACTAAATGTATAGTGATCAGTAAAAAGCCGCGAAGATGCAAACTAGAAATAGACGGCAAAATTGTAGAAGTAATGAAATTCAATTACCTAGGAGTAGAGATCACTTTCACAGGGATATAAGAATAGAGACCACAAGGCAAGCATCAAAAGCGGCAAGAGTAAGTGGTTGCCTCCAAGAAACCATATGGAGAAACAAATATCTGATGACGGAAAGCAAAATGAAAGTATACAATACAACAGTAAGACCAATCCTAACAAATGCAGCGGAGACAAGTACCGATACAAGAAAAACGAAACAACAAATCAACAATATCGAAATGAAAGTATTAAGATCAATAGCGGGCATATCATTAAGAGAACAGACAAACCAATAGAAGTACACGCAAACAATGCAAAATTCAAAATATTAATAGGTGGATAAAAACAAGAAAAAAAAAAAACTGGAACGAACATGTGAACCGAATGGGACCAGATAGATTAGCGAACATCTGTAAAAACAACAAGCCGTATAGCAGAAGACCCGTTGGAAGGCCGCCAAAAAGGTGGAAAGATATACGGTTAACAATGACTGAAACAGAATAAGAGGAATTTTATCGATCTAAAAGCAACGATAAAAATGAGAAAAGGACATGAATAGAATACATAAATAAATTCTGATAAATAGCAAAATAAGTATAAAAGTAAGAAAAACTGGAGGGAAAGACAATAGAAAAAAGAACCAAACATGCTAAAAGAAAAGTCCGAAAATTTGTAGGATAAATAGCAAAATAGGTACAAAAGTAAAAAATATTATAATAAACAGCACAAGAAGAGTATAAACAGCATAAGACATAGCACAAAAACAAAACAACGGTAAAATAAAAGTCACAATAAGAAAGGAATACCAGGAAAATGAAAACAAACATACTAGTAAGAAATAATTCAACTGAAACAATATCTGCGAAGAAAATATGGATATGGAAATAATAAAAAGGAGAAGCAGGGGCATAAAACAGAAATTTGTAACATAAGTAGGAAAAAAGTACAAGCAGTAAAAACGCTTAAAGAAAATTTATCTATATGTAGCAAAGTAAATAAAGAAAACTGAAAATTAAAAATTTGGTGTCACAAAAAGTGGCAGAATAACAGTAAATTTGAATAATAATAAAATTCGAGGTGGACAGACTACGAAACCCTGAGATAGTTAGAAAATTTCAACACAATCGTAAAGAAAAACTAGAAGACCAAAATGAGTAGTACTGTTGAAAACATAGATAATTACTGGAATGAGTGCGAAAATATCCTGAAAGAAGTAGCAACAACAGTTTTAGGAAAGAAGAAACAAGAAAGGAAAGGGACAGAATGGTATGATGCGAGATGCGCACAGCAACTCAAAAAAAGAATCGGGCATATGGGAAACAAGTTTCAAAACAGAAGGACAAGACAAAATCAAGAGGAGTATAAACAGATGAGACAAGCAGAGAAGAAGATACTAAAACAAAATAAAAAACGACATTTAGAAAACCAGCTACAAGAACTAGAAAGGCTCAATTGACAAAGCGAAGCGCGAAAATTTTATAAAAATGTGAACCACAACAGAAAAAAATTTAAACCTAGAATAACCATAATAAAAATGGAAGCTGAAATTAACAATGAGCCCAATCAAGAATCTCTACAAAGAAATTATTGATAATATAGTTGAAAACAATGATTGAAATGAGTACTTTGTGAAATCAACAGAAAAAATATGAACAAAATTAGCATTCATAGACATCCTCAGCAAAAAAAATATAAAAAGAGAGTCAAAGAAAAATCAGAATAAGAAAGTAAAGCAGGAAAAGCTCAAAAATCCAGTACAAAACATTATCTAATATCCATAAAAGGGCGACTAAGATTAGTTAAAAAACTGCAATTAAATATTATATCTATAGAGAAATATCGAAATACAATGAAAAGCTGAAAAGTACTGGTAAAACACAATTCAGCTAGAATAATATCCTTTCTACAAAAAATAAATACAAAAATATAAGTAAAGATAGGAAAAACTCTATTCACAGCAAAAAACATCGACAAAAAACTGAGAATCCTAATCATAGGCTCCTGGCAAAACATCACGGGGTAAAAATTGAAAAATTATATAGGTATTTACATTTAAAAAATATATAATCCGAATACTGCTTGTTATGAAAACATATTTTAATTTAAGAAACATATTTTCAATTACCTGCTTCATTAAAAGCTAGCATGAACACTTTTTTGAAGCGAATAAAATGTCTGACGCTATTCAAATTTAAATAGGAAGCATAATTAAATTATTCGATTAATTAAAATGACAATGTCAACAATATTGTTTACATATTAGAAATAGATAATGTAATACGCATGGATAAAAGTTTTTAGAATAGCCAAAGGTTAACCAGACTTGTGAACATAATAAACCTAATTTTAGATTTATTTTAGAATAATCCTTGCCATCTTAGTTAAAAAAAACAATGTAAACATATGAAACACATTAGAGTGAAGCCGACCCTGAAGAGGCCAATCTGACCTGGTTAACCTGTGCCTTAGATTCTTTAACAGGTATCTACTCACTTTAAATAATACACCTGCCCTTCAGGGGTGCGAGCTTGTTCCCATCCGGGGGGCAAAGGGGTGTTATCTTCTGATTTACTGGCCACGTCGTACGATCTTTGTTTTATATGATGAACTGGTGCTTGTTGCTGTCCTACAGCATAAGTCTGTTGAAGGGATGCTGGAGAACTGTGAGCCCTGTGATGAGCAGTTTGTAAAGGTACCGAATTCACAGAGGTAGCACCCGTTGCACCACCCCCAAAAGCGGAATCCACTGAATTTTCGCGAGAGTGGTTGATAGATTTCGAACCCGTTGACGGAGGATTAAAAAATGAGTCTGGGAGTTTTCTCATACTCCATGGCACTTGTAAAGGTCTCTTTGAATCTGGTTTTAAAACGCTATCAAAAAGAGCTTGTAAATCTGTTTCCGAATCTTGATCCACTCTCACTACTTGCTTAGCTTCATCCTGATTTAGTGCCATTTTGATGTAAGGCACTTATTATCACTGTTCACAGTGTATATAAAAACTCACTAAGTCCTCACTGACATAAAACACAACTACAAAACACTACTTCCTAATTTTTACGCAGAGCGTCGTGAACACACGACAAAGAATGTGCTTGGACTGATCGTCGCGTTGCATTCGTGTTTAGTTTGTCCTGTTGCTTCGGCCGACCGCCTAAGCGCCTACCGTATCGTGGTGGTTTGCGGGTCGCAGTTCTATCTCCACGGGTGAGACAGTACGTACGGGTCTAGTTACCCTGCCTGCGCTATTTGTTTAAGAAAATCAGTCTCGCTGGGCTCACAAGCGAGCTACGTAGATATACTCGACACACGGTGGAACATTGAATCAATTTACACTTTACCATAAACATTATCTTTTATTTCCTTCTATCTCGAAAAGATAATAGACTATCTTTTTCTTATCTCGTTCAATTTATTGTGAGGTGAATCTTCATTATGCAACAAAAATGACTATAATATAGACACAAACAAGCTGAAAATTTATTTAATTATGAAATAAACTTAACTTAGAATTATTTCTCATTCACTTAATAATTATTTTAACTGAAAAATGCACAGGTAGCAATAAAATAACGGCGCAGTGTGCATTAATATTGTTTATTGGAGATAGATGGCACAATTGCAACATTAAAACAAACATTTTTGATGCAATAAAATTTAAATTATTACGTCCCATTTTAAATTTTTGTTTTTACGAACTTATTTACCTAAAATACTATTTCAATTATCTTAGATTTTAGAGATTAATAACAAAAGTAGGGGAAGGAGGGGAGCTTTCGACCACAAAATGGTTTTTTGTATATTACAATTTGTTAAATGCATACTTTTAAAATAAAAGAGCATTAATGGGTAGATCAAAGTTTTGTTCAAATAACTAACCTGAAATTAAAGAATAAATAAAACCATTTAACAGCAAAAACAATTTTTTTTTAACTTTACAAATGGTCGAATACTCCCCACCCCTAGGGAGCATTAGACCAGGTGGAGGGGAGCATTCGACTATGTTAAAAGAGGATATTTTAAGGAATAAATAACGAAAAAGTTTTGAAAAAGTACTTTATTTTAGAAATGAAATAACATTAATGAATGTTGTCAAAAAATAACATAAATGACCTACCTAAAAAAAATCAGTTAACAATTAAGGTGCTAAAATTGTGACTAAACTTAAAATATGAAGCTTGTTATTCCAGTTTTTGTTAGAGTTTTCATTTGCTGATAATGTCTCCATTCTCCACTTTGCTTATGTCTTCAATTTGTTGGAAATAAAAAGTAGTTGAGTGACTCGACCTTTCTTTCTTAAAAATTTAATTTTTGTTGCTTCTTCTGAAATTTCCAAAATTTGCCCCAAAAAAATGAATCAGTTTGGATTTAGTCATGAATCTTACTAAAAAAAAATCTTCTTTTTTAAGATTTTGTTGATCAACTCCCTCAATTTCATCAAATTCGTCACTCAATTAGACCTGAATCTTTCACTGAATCTAGACATTTCACCTGAATCGTCATGAAGAGATAACGCATCATTTTCGGTTGATAATGAATCAGAACAGTTTTCCATGTTTACTTTCTTTTTGAGGAGTTTGTTTTCTTTTGCCTATATGTTATTCTTAAACACATTTCTCTTAACACCTCTTTTTTTACTTTCCTTCTTTCTTTCTTTCTTTTTCAGGAGTGTCAGTATAAATTCTTGAAATTACTGGCGTTCGCTTACTTTTACTTACTTTTCTTATGGGGTGCAAAACTGAATAGAAATCCCACAATCCCAATAACTGCAAAATGTTACGCTTTGAAGACTAACATGGGGCTCGTGATTACCAACCAGCAATAATATGGGATCCTTAAGGGAGCTGCGAGTATGCTTTACTATATGTTGTACTACCGAGGAAAATAACTCTGCAGTCATCCAACCGGATTTGTTTCCCAATCCCAAACTTGACACTGGCGAGTTAACTATAAGTTCTTCCACATTTCTAATCCTTGGAAATACATAAACGGGAGGCAGGTTTTGTCCAGAAGAACTTACAAATGTCTCAAATTCACCCCTTTAGCTGAAGCAGCTTGAGAGACTTGTTTTTTGCCTTTGAGGGAGACAATTTTCACTTGCTTCATGACAGTGGTAACTCCGGTCTCATGAAGATTATAAATTCTTTCTGAACGAAATTTGTCGCGCTCCAACACTTTTTGAAGATTTGCAAAAAATTGGTCAACCTTATGTTTATTAAAAGCGATGCTTCTGCTTAGACTGGTGCTTTCTGGTTTCCTTAAGTAAAGCGTTGGATGACGTTTCATAAATCCTCGTCGCCATCCATCTTTTGCCTTTTTTTCCTGGTGCCACTCTTGCGGAATTTTGCAACTAGGCAATTCAGAGGCGTAATCATAAACAAATTTTTGGATGTGAGTATAAGTTAGTAGTTAAGGTCAGAGCATCTCTTGATATATGCTTTCAATTCAGCTTCGTGCTCCACCGTCAATAGCTGCCTATTGTATATTTGCTTGAAAATTCTGATGAATTTCTGTCAGCGTCACTTTCATTCCCAGAGTCATCCGGATTTTGCATAGTCTGCCGCAAATACTCTTCTTTACTTTTCTTCCGTAATATCTTTTTCACCCTACTTTTAAGTGTTGACCTCTTTATTCCATAAATTCGGGCAGCTCCCTTTCTAAAGAAGTTCCTGTAAAACAGTCTATAACTGCACGTTTAATGGCATTTTCGTCTATTTGGTTTCTGTTGGTTTTTAGTACTCGTTTTTGAGGCATATCTAAAAAATACAGCAAGTAAAAATATGGAAATTTTTAAACTTATTACACAATAAACAGTGATTTATTAAAAAAGATCATATTTTGGATAAAATTCCAAAAAATTCGTTTTATTAGCTAATTTAGTTCGCGAGTTAAAGTTAATTTAATTATTCTTTGCTCAAATTTATTAATCCTTGTCTCACTTCCCTTTAGTCTTTGTTTATCTTCCACATAAATAAAAAACATAATACCAAAGGAAATAATATTTTAAAACGGCTGGGGAGCATTCGACCAGTGGTCGAATGATCCCCGTTTTCTTTCGCCTCCTTTTTTCTAATAAGTTTATTGATTCGCTTGTATTCTATTGGGCTTGTTTTATATTTTCGTCTTACGTCCATGAGGTCCATGATCTCTTCCGTTATCCAATCTTGTTTTTTGTTGTGTTTTATAAACCCGATGTCTTCTTCTTGTATCTTAGTTATTTTATGTCAATGGAAGTAGGTAATTCTGCCCTTGTCAGTTGTGTTGAGGATGAATCTGAACCATTGATATCTGTAAGTATTACAGATGGCCGTGACTTAAATTAATTTCGAGATTCTCTAATATCTACTCTATTCCGACGAAAAATATTACGCTCATCTCTCAAGATATATGACCTTGGGGCTTCCTGCTGTCGTAGTATTTGTAATGGTTCCCACCTCCTTTGACATTGATTGTAGATAACAACCTCTGTGTTAGGATCCAAAGACTTTAAATTCTTTGACATTTAGACAAACTTCAGATTTTTACACATCTTGGTCAATTGGTAACTTGGTTCTACAGTTAATACTCATTAAATGTTGTAAAGGAATATAACCAATGTATTTAAGGGGTGCATTTAAGTTGGCAATTGCCACATACACCTTTCGAGTAAGTCCATTTGACCGTGTATAATTGGGACTTCTAAATTTAATTTGATAATTCCATTCCCTGGCAAAATTTTTAAAATTAAAGGTATTGAATGGAACATTCTCACAACATATATAGGCTGGTGATCCATGTCTAGCAAACATTGACCTTAAAACTTGAATGAAAGAAAAAACAGTTTGTTTTTTATTGAGTGCAGCTCTACCCAGTTGCAAAAGAATCATAAGCTACTAGACAGCGTGTACCATTACATGTAAAAATGTCAATGCCAATTCTTTCCCATGGATGTTTTGGTAAAGGATATGGACATAACGTTTTCCTTCGCTGCTTTGGTCTAAATTTTTCACAAGTTTTATTTTTTGTTATATAAGCCTCTATTTACAAGATCACATGGATTTCAAATGATGGAAGAACACGAAATCAAATAGATCATGTCCTTATTGACGCAAGCCACTCTAGCAGCATTATTAATTCGCGGAGTATGAGAGGAGCTGACAGCGATAGCGATCACTTTCTGTTGAAATCTAAGTTAGGAACGCGATTATCAATACAGAAACTGGAACAACAAGAAAAAAGAGAAATATGGAACATATAAGTCCTACAAACACCCAATACAGAACTGGATTATCAAGTGGTAATAAGCAACAGATTATGATTGCTGGGAGAGGAGGAGCACAATGTAGAGTTAGAACAAGCATGGCAGCAAGTGACATCAGTTATAGAACAAGCAGCCAAGGAAACCATTGGAAAAAGACGACTCGCCCAAAACGGAAATTGTTTGACAAAGCATGCGAGGAAATTCTGGAAATAAAAATCAAAATAAGATTGAAAATGCTACAAGACCCTACAGATTAGAACAAAGCAGATTTTAATAGAACAAGAGTACAAACAAGGCGACTATTCAGAACTAACAAGAGGAGCTACCTAGAACAGCAAATCCAGGAAATGGACAGAAGTGGCGAGAGGAATCAAATAAGGAAATTCTTTAGTGAAGTGAAGTCAGTCAGAAAAGGTGTAAGTGTTGGAGTAGTACAGCCTATGAGAAATGAAGCAAGTGAACTTATAATGATAGAAACGGAAATCGTCGAACGATAGAAGGAATACTTTTGGAATTTAATAAATATTGAAAGTGTGACGGAGGAAGTAGATATTACGTTTCATTCTGCAGATATCGAAATATCAGCACCAACACTTGAGGAAGTAAAGAATGCGATCGCGTCTCTAAAAGACCATAAAGCACCAGGAAATGATGGCATAAATGGAGAGTTGTTAAAAAAAGGAGGAAACCTTTTACACCAAAAATTATATGACATCATTCTGAGAGTATGGCAACAACAGAAAATACCTAGAGAATGGAATGGAAGCGTTATAATTCCCATATATAAGAAAGGAAACAAAGAACAATTCCGAAACTATAGAGGCATATCGCTTATGGGTCCATCATATAAAGTGCTATCAATTATCTTGCTAAAGAAACAAAC